GTGAACAATCTCAATCTCTTCACCATCCATCACGATGCTGCCAATCGGCCCAGTGGTGAGAATCTTTGTTTTCCTGATAATGAGTCACAATCCATACCAAAGACTGCAGTCCCTGACCTTCCACAGCAAGTGCTTCAGGTTTTCTTCAGTTTCAGCAAGCAAGGTTCTGTCATCTGCGTAACACAGATTGTTGATGATTCTTCCTCCAATCCTGATGACACATTTCTCCTCATAGAGCTCAGCCTCCCGGATAGCCTGTTCTGCATAAAGATCGAAAAGGTATGGAGACAGGATACAGTCCTGGCATACACCCTTCCCAATTTTGATCCATGCAGTGTTTTCTTGCTCTGTTCTGACTACTGCCTCCTGGTCCAAGTATAGATTTCCCATTAGCATAATCAAGTGTTCTGGGATTCCCATTCTTCTCAGAGTCAGCCACAGTTTGTTATGATCTACAGAGTCAAATGCCTTTGCATAATCAATGAAACAAAGATAGACATTCTTCTGGTATTCCTTGCTTTCAGCCAAGATCCATCTAACATTAACTACAATATCCCTAGAACCATGGCCCTGTCTAAACCCAGCCTGCACTTCCAGTAGTTCTCTGTTGATGTGCTGTTCCAGTCATATTTGGATAATCTTCAGCAAAACCTTGCTTGCATGTGATATTAATGATATTGTTGGATAATTTCCACACTCTGGGGGATCACCTTTCTTTGGCATGGGAACAAATATAGATCTTTTCCAGTCAGTTGGCCAAGTGGTTGTTCTCCAGATTTCTTGGTACAACTTGGTGAGCACATCTAGGGCAGCATCTGTTAACTGAAATATGTCAATTGGTATACCATCAATTCCTGGGACCTTTTCTTAGCCAATTCTTTCAAAGCAGTCTGAACTTCTTCCTGCATCACCATAGGTTCTTGCTCATACATTGTTCCATTAAATTCTTCTGTGTCTGCCAATTCTTTTTGGTATAATGACTCTGTATACTCTTTCCATCTTCCTTTACTACTTGCAGGATCATTCAATATTCTGCCCAAAGCATCCCTAAGTATTGCAACTCGAGATTTGAATTTCCTCTTCAGTTCCTTGAGCTCAAGAAATGCTGAGCGTGTTCAACCTCTCTGATTTTCTGACTCCAGCTCTTTGCACATTTCATCATAATACTTTACTTTGTCTTGTCAGGCAGCCTTTTGAAATCTCCTGTTCAGCTCATTAATAGCTTAATTTCTTCTTTCTACTTTGGCTTCTCAGCGCTCCAGTGCAATATTCAGAGTCTCTTCTGACATCCATTTTGGTCTTTTCTTCCTCCTCCATCTTTGCAATCACCTTTTGCACTCTTCCTAGATGATATTCTTGATATCTTCCCATAACTCATCTGGTCTTCACTCATTAGCATTCAAGGCCTCAAACCTGTTCCTAAGATGGTTCTGAAATTCAGGTGGGATAGATTCAAGGTCATATTTTGGTTCCTGTGGGCTTGATTTTACTTTCCTTAGCTTCAGCTTAAACTTGCAAATATAATCAAAATATCACTGAATTTTACACTTAAAATTAGGTGGGGTTTTTAATCAATTTTATATTGATTTGCATACATAATTCACACATATGGTGTTTCGCACATTCATTCATTCATTCATTCATTCACATTGTGCTTCATATAATTGTTCCCATACACTGTATCTTATAAAATTAATCACCATTGATCTATACCCACTATTATCCCATCTTTTCAGATCTCCACTAGATCTTTCCTAATTCCTTTACCCTCTCCCTCTATCCACCAAATTCTGCGACCCTCTGATTTCTTCCTCCTCCCACCCTCAACTCCCTTCCCCACCCCGCTCCCTACCCTAACTAGACATTTATACACATCTTACTAATTATCCCTGTATTTATGCAATAATGATCTTATGCAGTATTTGTCCTTATAATACTGAGTTTGGTCACTCAGCATAATGCTCTCTACTCTCTTCCATCTTATATGGTTGGTTTTGGGTTTGTTTTTTTTTAAATCTTTGCTCCTGAGTGTTACATAGTATTCCAAAGAGTGAATTTTCTCAATCCAGTTGTTCGTTGATGGACATTTGGGCTATTTCCATGTTCCTGCTACTGTGAATAACACTGCTATGAACATCAGTATACAAATCTTCCTTTGTGTCTCAGTTCTGTTTTCCACAGTATACACCTACCAGTGGAACAGCTAGGTCATATGGAATTTCTATTTTTAAATTTTTGAAGTTTTTATATTTTAAATTTTTGAGGAAACGCCAAAGTGCTTTTCAAAGTTCTAATCTCCCTACATCCTCTCCAACAATTATTGCTTGCTGTCGAGTTAAAATTTGCCAGTGCTCTTGGGTTGAGACTGTACTCACTGTGGTTTCAATATGAATCTCTCTTATTGTCAGTGATTTTGAGCATTTCTTTTTCATGTGTCTGTTGGCCATACAAATGTCTTCCTCTATGAAAAGTCTTTCCATGTGTTTTGCCCATTTTAAAACTGGGTTATCAGTTTTTTTTCTTGTGGAGGCCCTGTAGTATTCTGTAAACTTTCATTGGAGAACTCTGTACAAGATGTCATTGTCAAATGGTTTTTCCCAGTCAATAGGTTTTCTTCTCACCCTACTGGTAAAACGTGTTTTTTGTTGTTTTTGTTTTTATTTTGCATTAGTTTGCATATAAAATTCACATACAATATAAACATTTTTGAAGCACATAGGAATTTAATCTTTAGAAGGTCCTATTTATCAATGTTATCCTCTCCTGTTTGTGCATTTTCTGGCTGTTATTTGCCAGCCTACTTGTACTACAGGCTAGAACTTGTAAGTTTGGTCGCATTTTGTCTCTTGTGATCTTTATGGTTCGGGGCTTTACCCTAGGTCTCTGACCAACCTTGAGTTGATTTTGTGTGTGTGGTTGTGAGATGTGGATCCCACTTTCACTTTCTGCAGGTAGCAATATATGAGTTTGTTTGGTGTGTTGATGGGTTTGTTGTTGTTTTTTTATTTTCAGTCTTCCTTATTTAGTGTACAATTTTCACATGCATATCAAGTAATTGAAAATACTATGGATTGAGTCTGGTATATAAAACTGGTATCCTTGTTCTTTATAAATT